TACTGCTCAGCACAACCGCCAGAGACTCTAATAGAGACTCTAATCTCTAATAGAGACTCTAATCTCTAATAGTCTTAGATTAATCTAGCTTCTACAGTACTGATTCTTCTGTATGAAATTGCTGAACTAGACCCAAGAGAGCGTGGAAGATATTTGCGCAGGAAAAGCTGATCAAACATTTTCCTTGAGTAGTGCTGTGGAGCTGTTGCTCATAGGTGAGTAGAATGACCTGTAAATAGTAAAATGAAATGCAGAAGACTAAAGTGGAAGCCATTCCCTCTGCTCTTAATTCAACATGCTGCTGCTCCAGCTGTGCATCAGCTGGAATACCGTCTGTTCTTCCTCTTTCTTACGTCAGACTCTCACATCTCTGGGAGAGAATGAGAATTTTTACTTTGCGCAAGAAGGCAGACGAATTTCACCGTAAAAAATAGTAAATCACATCTGTGCTGTTTTCACCTGCTTTAGGATTTAGAGGGAGGGGAAAAAAAACCCAGTAAATCCCAACCAGCTACCTCCCCTCTTCACAGAAAAATCCATAAAGCAATATTGCATCTCAGCTCTTTCCTGAGTCCTGCAATCTCTCCTTGCTGCTTCCTGAAAGTGCTGTTAGTGCAAAAATAACCAAAGAAGACTTACAGTGGTTTGTAGCACTGACATAACCGACAAGCTTGGATGAGCTGTATTTTATAACGCGTTGCGCTGGCGGCAGAGTCCACTCTCCTCTCGGAGATGTTGTTGATCAGTGTAAAGTGCCACGTTCCACCCGGGAACTGTTCTGAATAGTTTGTGTGTCACGGGCAGCAGTTTCCCTGCCTACATAGACAAACGTCAAATAAAAATGTTACCAGTGACGTTACTAGGCATGAAAGGTACTGAGAGAAATCTTTCACGTCTGTTTCTCTGGGTTATCAAACTTTTTTGAAATGAGGGCCTGGGGGCAGAAGCTGTGGAATTGGTTGAATAGTTAGAATTATTCTTGTATATTTTTGAGAGCAGTATATTTTTTTTTTCATTTCATTTATAACTCTTCTTGATGTTAAACTAAAGTTAGAGTTCTCTGTGTGACCACATCTTTCCAATCCAAAATAAGAAAGGCCATATATACATGTTCTAGAAAATTGGAATTTATATGATGATCCTCCTGCATTTTTCATGTGATGCCTGTAAGTTCCTGAGAGGTGATGCTTGTTTGAACTGTGGAGGAGCTTCTCATTTCAACAAAAAAGGCATCTGTGTCATGTAGGTGCAAAAATAGTTTATCCATACACTAAAGAGGAATTAAGCTGCAAAATACCTATTAGGAGTTTATGATTGATAGAGCATAACCCCTACCTTATGGAGATATTGCAGTTACACTGCAGCACGATCATAATCATAACCATACAGTTATGATTAGATGGGTTTCAAATGTTCAAAGACCTAAACAAGTTTGGTCTCATTTTTACTTACTCAGATTTCCCTGCCTTCCCATATTGTTGTAACAATTCTGCATTGAGCCCATTTTCCTAGTACTCATTGTTCATTTATCTTAATTTTCAAAGTAAGCAGGATTTTTGTTACATTTTTAGACAATTCATTATGTAGTCAGAATGTTACCATTCAGGAAGAATATACTATATTTTTTCACATGAGATAGAATGGACATTGTACTTTAAATGAGAATCTAAGTATTCAGTTGACAAAGGAATTAAATCCATTGAGTTAAAAACTGTAGTCTCTTATTTCTAAGCATGTTCAGTGCGAGACAAATGCACCAAGAAAGTCCTTGCCTGGAATTGCAGTGGGGTAGAAGCTGCTAGCCAAAGCTTAGAACCCCGAAATACAGGTTAGTACTGATGCAAAGCACTGGGAGATGCCTTTATAGGATTATAGAATCATAGGTTGGAGAAGACCTCTAAGATCATCAAGTCCAACCATGCACACAACACCACCATGCCTGCTG